AAATTTTGCAATTTAAGTTATTTTTTTAAAATTACATAAATATTTTTATTGAGTAAATGGCAAATCTTAGTCATTAATTTTTATATGTATGGAAGAAATGTCATAAGTATATATGATATAACTGTTTGAATTTAATGATGCAATTTTTCCCAAAGGGTAGGATGCATCCACCTGGACACCTTACAGTTAAATCACTATTTATGTTCTTCTTCTATAAGCAAAACCTATAGAATATAATATACTCTAACTTGAACATATTTTGTAAGAGAAAGAAACTAGAAATCAAACTTTGTCTTGAATATATATACCTAAATCAATGTATCAACCACTGAAGTATGCAACAAAGCATTATTCATTGAAGTGTTTGTGGTTTCCATACCAGGTTAAAAAAGTTAATTTATAATATCATGACATATATGAAAAATGAATGGAGTATAAGCTAAACAATGATGTTTTAGGTGTCTTTATATAAGTTCAGAGTGTTAGTAAAACAAAATTTCAAAACTTAATAAAATATTTTAATGAGACCTTACATACTAACAATACATCTTAAGTTCAAAGAGTTTTAAAATTTTGTTAGAACTAAATAGTCATAGTTACTTTGTTTATTCAAACCAACAATACTGGTGCTCTCATCATTTTCTTGTTTTAAAAATATAGATAATTGTCATTAGGAGACACAAGCACCATTATAATGTTTTAGAATAATAATAAAAAAAAACAAGTTTTTAATTATATAATATAATTGTAAAAGTAGTAAAGAAACAGGTGTGCTTAGCTACCTCACAAGAGTGTGGTTCAATTCCTCTTCACGCTTGGCTAGTTGACTCTGTAATTCCTCCACTTCTAATTTTTTTTCATTAAGCTGTTCTTTTATATCATTGAGTTCAGTCTCAAGTTTTCGTTTTACCCTTTCCAACTCTTGTCTCAACTATGCAGTGTTTGCAAAGAAAACAACAAAAGGGTTTTCACGTAACTCCTTTGCTCTTTTGGAAACTTATTTCAGTATTTTGAACTTCTTTTAATACTTCAAAGACATATTGAACAAATACAACAATATTTATACATATTCATTCAATGACATATTCTAGACATACTCCATAAATAACATCAATAATTAGTTTATGACACATCATGTAAATACATTTAATTAATAAAAAATACCTATACACACTTGGTTAATGATACAAGATCTTGACATACTCATTTTAATCCTTTGCATATGTTTCATCAATTTCACTGGCATTGTATCCATCATGTAACTGTGAAACTATACGTACTATAACTCTGAATGTATTAAGTGTATTTTCAGAATATTTGGCAAACTTTTAGTAAACGTTAGAATTATGTTCACAAAGCCTTTACTGAGTCAGTCTGAGTGAAATATGATTTTCATGCTAACAATAAAAATACTTCTTTTCATATTTCATTTGCATAACATCTAAAACCACCTAAATGAACATCACAAGCATTTTTGGTAAAACTTTATATTTGTTCTGTTACTTTCTCTACCCTACCACTAACTCTAGCAAAATAATTAATGTACAGTGAATGAAAAGTTGGAGAATATGAAATAAAATGAATAATACCTTCTTTTTTTCTAGGATGATTGCACTTTGTAACATACAATTACAATTATTTACCTTAGCCTCAGCTTTTAATCTTTTCACATCTGCTTTCTTTTAATTTTATGGTTTTAACACTGTGCTTTTAGACCCTCCTCTCTATGTGAAAAACAATAATTCACAGAGGGATCTTTACTGCAGATCTTAGAGTAAACAAATGATCAGGTCACATTCAGATGCATACTGCAAGCTTCAGTTACAAATCTAAGTTTAATCACCAAAGATCAAAGTTTCTAATTTTTACATTTTAGTTACTTTGTTAAAAAAATATATAATAATAATAAATAAAAAATATACATAAAAACAAGACATTTAACACACCTGGGTTCAGGCCTTTTGCAACTGATGCTGTGGTGCAGTAACCCTATTTTTTCTAACTAAGTTAGGTGTTTAAAAAAGAAATTCAGGTAGCTTTCAAACATATATCTTAGAAAACAAAAAACATACCAGGCACTAGAATAGAATGTCTCACAATGGCTTTAATTTGACTGACCTTCAAACTAGGGTATAAATAAGTTATAAAGTTCCATTAACTGCTTGGAGTTGAACAACAATGATCACAGACAGAGAATCTAAGGCCAACTGTTTATGTATGCTCGCCCAAAAAAAATAACTAAAAAGTTTTTGTAGAGGAAAAAAATATATACTCTCTTAGTGGTTATAAACATGCCTATCAAATAAGAACATATAGTTTAGATAACTGCCTTGAAAGCTATGATAAGATGGAAAAAGCTTTTCTGGTGGGTCTAACAAATTATTTGATATTTCAGTAAATCACAAAGGTAGGAGGTTCAAGTTTTATATTTTTGCTTTTGATTATCCATAGTTTGTTTCTAATTGATTGGACACTCTGAAAGTCATGCTAGGAAAAATAAAAAATATTTAAGTGAGAATTATGGGATAACTCACATGACACAGAGAGGTGAAGTTTGAAAATTTATTTTAAATATTTCCATTTGAAATTAACATCTAAAACTTAAATAATATAAAAATTTTAATTATAAACTAAGTTCTCACACTAAGTTTATTGGTACGCATTAACAATAAAGTTGTTAAATTAAATTTTAAATGTGACTCTGTTAAAAAGTCGTGACACACTCACTTTGATTAGGCCCAAACATATAGGGTAAAGGAGACATTTTTTAGTTATGCTTAGTTAATAAGACAACACAAACAATATTGCCATAATAATACTGAAACTTGATAAACTTTTAAATCATCTGAGCCTATGATACTAATGCAAAAAAAACAAACAAAAAGCCCATTTTCAATCATGAACATCAGAAAAGTACTTAACAAACACACAAAATCTGTGTTTCTATACATCAGTTATCCTTAATTCTCTGCTGTATTCCTCTTTACACATTCAGGAAAAAAGACCTTAGACAGATATAACAATAAAGACACTTTCTAAAATGGCAGTATTTACTTTTTTTAGCCTAGCAAGATCATACCTGTTGCTCTTTCCGAAGTCGTTCCTCTAAGTCTGCAATGATAGCTTCATACTTGGATTTGAGTTTACTCAAATGCTTAGATTTCTCTTCTTCTTCAGCAAGGCTCTGGGAAAGTTCAGATTGTCGATCTTCAAAAGCCTTTTTTTCTTTAGACAGCTGTAAAGTCAGACAATAACAAAATAATGAACAATATGAACATATAATCCAGCATCAATTATGACTAAAAAATAATTTGTGACATAAATTTTCCTTTTATTGAAAAACGAATCTTCCATAAAAAAACATACATGTACAAGAATATTTTGGATGAAGAAAGCTTGGCAATTAGTTTTTGCATACTGAACCTGTAATAGACTGTAAACATTCTCATCACTTTTTCCATAGGAAACCAGAGTTAGATACCAGCCCTACAAGCCTTTAAGACACAGAAAGGATTTACCTCAACTTTGCGCATATTATTGGTAGAGTTACTTGTTTTAGTATTATGCAACAATTTTTTATGGTTTAATTAAATACGTTTTAATACTCAAAATTGTTTTCACAATTAACCTACTTTATCTAATATTGCCAATCATGTTTTTATAAATGCCAAAGAAAAACAATTATTATTTATAACTAATAAACACATCATCATTACACACATATGTATATTATAAAACTGTACTTTAAAAGATCTCTTTAATGACCATGTATTTACATATCACAAAACAGTTTACTTACATATCTACTTCAAAATATGTCTAAGCTCAACACAAAGTTATTTTGAAATGTTTTTTAACAAACTACGGAAACTAAAGTGTCAGGTTTTTACATTCCAGCTAAATGTAACAGACAAGCTCTAGGGGAATATGGGTCTACAGTTTAGAACCAGCAGCTCAATAGGAATATATAGGTGTGTAGGTTTTATTTCAAGCCAAATCTTGACATATTATCTACAGTAATTCACTATTATTACTTTGCACACTTTTAGATAAAGTGTTTATGTGTGAATAAACATAGCACATAGACTTGTTTCAACTGATAAATTTCAGAGGTTACACAACTTTCAACCCTATACACAGTAAGACACACACATCTAAAAACTGTCATGCATGCAAAATTAATAACGAGAAAAAAAAATGTACAAAATATACAGTTTTTGTTGTTAGGAATGAACCAATGTTGTGATTCCTTTGAACAGAGGTTCACACATATATGCTGGTACTAAAACAGTTGGTACATTTTACATTTTATTTGAACATACACTTTCGTTCCAAAAGCAAAGAACAGAAATAATATAAATTAGATCATTGTTGAATTTTAACCTGCTATAAAACAAACTGAAAATGAAAGCACTTCTATTACAAAGAAACAACTTAATATTCTGAATACCAATTAATTACTAGATGTATATCCCACTTATTCTACATGTTTCACTCTTCACAGGTTTTTTAACTAAAGAAATATTTAAGATTTATTTTAAGAGAAAACAAATAACACAGACTGATGACTAACATCCCGCTACAGCAGTAACTTAAAAGTACATGAGTGAAGAATTCTGGGTATAACTCCTAATTCAAGCATACAGAGATAGTCCCTATCTGATTTTAAAGCTGGGTTATATATTGAAAAAACTGATCTTTATGTAAATTTTGAGAAATTGAAACTTATTTTCTGTTACAAGAAGACTATAAGTATATTGAAGTTTACCGCACTTTATAAGAGTGGTGTTCCATTGTTCAGCATGCTCAATTTAATAACAATGATTATGCACTTGTAGCTCAACACTGTAATATTCATTGTAACAAACTTGTGCAAAGGATGGTGAGATCACTCTTATAGACCTGCCAACATTAAATTTTGAAAAATAGTAATCCCTACCAGGACATGGAAAAAGCAGCAAAAAATATATAATAAAATGGTGTCACTAATAATTATGTTTTATTTAATACTTACTAATTACAGTGTGCTACTGATTTTGAGTCCTGTAAGTAGCACTTTGGGATGATAAAATTTTGAATACTCTAGTCTAAACTTTTACACACTCTAAACTTTTCTTTTCTTTGTTGGAGTCATTGGGGATGAAGCAGAACCACGTTTTACCACCATTTTCCTCTCAAAAAATGATCAGCGCACCATAGATGCTTATTACTTACATGCTTTTTTAATAGATTATTTCAAGCCTTTGTATAGTTAAGATTAAAAGCAAAGAGGTGAATTATTTCTAGAAAATTATTAGTAGAAAGAAAATGTTGGTGGAAAAATTATAGAATTTTGCATAAAAACCATAAAATAACACAACCATTTGTACAGACATAAAAAAAATCAGAACAATTACACCGAAATCATAAGAATTGCCAGGTCTCTTCTTAGACCACACATCTTGACAAACTGTCCAGAGAACTTCTACTGTTTTTGGACATTAACTTCCAAGACCCAAGAAACATTTCTATCGATGTTGCATTAAAAAATAAGAAGTTGAATGGGGATGCTGTGGCTTCAGTTTATTGGTCCAACTTTTTCACAAAAACAGTTATTGATTTTGAGGTGTGGCTGGAAGCTATCAACATCTTTTTTGTTTATATTCTTAAATTCTTAACAATACCAGGATACGGCTTCATCACAGTAGCTTTTTGGGAAAGAGGGTCTTTTTTTATAACCATAGCTTTTACACGTAGGATGTCGAGTTGCTCTAGATTGAATTGGACAATGGTTTCAGAGACCATTGAAGGATCTCTTCTTGAATTAATGTGTACTTTTGCTTTACCTCATTTAATAATGTCACTGTATGAATAGTTTCCTTTGTAAAAACTTTTTATATCAATACAGCTACAAGTTTACCCATAACATATTGCATTGATAAATGCTTGGTATTTTCACTGTGAACCCAATATACAGATGCTAAGCATTCTGCCCATTATGTTAAAGCTAACATCTACACCCAACACAATATTGTACGTAGAACATCCAAATAATTTCAATAAAGTAGGATTAACCCTCTGTGATTCATTCTCAATCATTAATATACAAAGAAAACCAATTTTTAATTTCATAATTTAGCAAAATGTTTACACTTAATTTCAAAGCAAAATGAGTGGAGAATTCGATATTAGAAGTCAAAGAACAACTATATAAAGAATATAGAATAACTATATAGAATAGTTATATAGAATAACTATATAAATCAAAGCAATTAATGTAAGCATCATTCACACAACCCAATTCAAGACTTCATCAACAGTGGGCTGGGTATGGCCTGGTTAGCGTGCTCAGAATGAAAATCCAAGGGTTCGTCCTTTGTGGACCTGGTTGCTGCATAAACATGCTTCGTAATTTGGGTTAGGATTAAACTAAAAGAGTGATGGTCAAATCCCACTACACAATCAAATAAGAGCCATCCAACAGTTGATAGTTAAAGCTTTTGACTAGCTGCCTTCCCTCTAGTCTATCAGTTTAAAATTAGGGATAGCTATAAACAGACCACCATATTGTAGCTTTACAAGAAAATTCTAAAATAAAAATCAATTCCTCAACACAATAGTGTAAGAAGTAAGAAAACTTATAAAAGTCGATTTGAAACACTGCTGAACAAGCAATTTGAAAACTATACACTTTCAAAGTGTTTAGGTCCCACCTTTTGGTTGGTGTCTTCCATCAAAGCCAAGTCCTCCTCCAGCTTTTTTAACTTGGCATCCTGGCTCACCTTCTCCAACTGAAGTTTCTGGCGAGATGCCTCTTCTTCCTCTAACCTGTGAAATTATATAATCTTTTAAATTCTCATTGCTAATTTAAACAATGATGAACCAACATATAGAACTGTTTCAGCATTATATGAATTATCTTATTTTCTTTAAAAAACAGTGTTGTTTAATGCCACTATTTTTTCCATTTTTCTTAAATACTTTTAGAATTTAGAATTAGACCTTAGGAAAATTAAACTTGATCAATAATATACTGATTACACTTACAAGTACCTCAACTTTTAATTGTATGCTCAAACATATTTAAAGTGAACTACAACAAGCAGTGTTGGAGGTCTCAAGACTACCCTTCGGAAAGTCTAGGTCTCAGAAAATGTTTCACAGGTCTCCAAAGGAGACCGGCTAAATTTAAAAGTTTTACCAGTATTTAGACCTAACCAATTATAACATGCACTATTGAAAAATAATTACTACTATACATTGCATTAAGAAGTTCATCTGGTGCACATATTTACGCTAAATGTTAGCAATTATCCCTGATATTCAACACATCTAATAGATCTGTTGTGATCCTGTTTGGATTCAAAGATCATAAATAATCCATTGACACCATAAACTCTTGAAAAACAATAACGGTTTTTCTTTTTCTTTATTTGCTGATTTTTTTTTTTCATAGCAGGAGACATTAAAACAAAGACTGTGGGGTTAAAGTGTAAAAGAATTGTGGTTAAGATTTTAATAAAGTTTGTTTGACACATGTGATTTTTATTCTGGTTTTATTTTTCATTGTGTAATTTATTTCAAGGTCTCAATCTCGGACACCGAAGTCTTGAGTACAACACTGACAGCAAGATCTTCTTCCCAGTTTAACTTCCTGTAAAATGCAATAATAATTACTACACGTGGATTGATAAAACACAGTAAGAAGTGTCAGTGAAAAGCCATAAAAATGTCATTTAAATAATTTGTGGATTTGAATAAGGCCTACAGAAGATCAAATTCAACTCATTGTGATTATAGGCTGGTGTAACTTGGTTAGGCAAACAATTAACTCCACCCTTCCAAAAATATAAATATACATCTGCATACATGATGTTCAAAACCATGTAGCACGAACAGAAAAATATTAGGTTCAAAAAAGAAACCCAATAACTCGAAAACTTTCCACGGGTGGATATCAGTTATGTTAACATCAGGCAGGAGAAGTCTGGGCAATGTATTACATCATTTGGAATTAAGAGGGTAAATTAAAATTATTTATTTAAATTACAGCACATTTTGGCTTAGGCATCTTAGAATTGAATTGTGAATTGGAAGAAGCAACTTTATTTATCACCTCTACTTATGGTGTCTCCCCATATCTTTTCTGGTTCACTAGGAGTGATTTCCTCCTCACATGTAACTGCAAACACTGAACGGTGGTTTTATATCTTGTAGGCTTGAAATTCCTTCTTGCTTTAATATTTTTTTTAGCTTTCAAAGATGTACAATACTGTTTGTTGTCGAGGTAGTTGATGTATGTATTTATATAAAGCATAACAATCAGTATATCTCCTGAAGTCGAAATCTATGGTGATGGACTGGTATTCTGGTCTGTTATTGTAAAACATACACAGAATTTTATTTAAAAAAAAACAGCAAAAGAAGAGGATGATGTGTTGTAGCAAATGTAAAGGTCACAGCTTGAGAAATAACAACATGTCTTAATAGAATATGGAGATAAAAAGCATAATGAAATATTAGTCAAACAAGTATTATAACCATGTACCAAACAAAATATTTTACAGTATGTGGGGATATCCACAAAAAATCTATAACTTTCCATCTGGATCTTAAAAAAAAAGAAAAGGAAAAATTCATTGTTTTCAAAATCAACAATTATCACAAAAAGTGAGAAACAAATGGAAGCTGTACATGTAAGAATGATCGATTTTTGAAGTTATGCTAACTTAAAGTTGAGTTTGTTCTGCTGTAATAAATTTCAGACAATTTTTTTTAATGAGCACAAGAAAAAAAAAATTTCCATTATGGATTCATAATAATTTCAGAACTTTATTATTCATTATTAAATATGGTAGTTGCAACTGTAAGAAACAGAGAGAAATAACAAAATCAATTCTGTTTACAACCAAACTTAGGTGACAAGGGTCAGTACAACTATAGAGAACCATGATCAATGGACTACATGTGGGAGGAAAGCTACGATCTCCCTCCCGAGTTGTTCATGTCTTAGGAAAAAAATGAGTGGTCAGAGAATAAAATCAAGGAAGACCTGTGAAACAAAATACAGGATACATCCACTGCATAAAGATCAAATCTGCGACGACAACAAACAAGAAAAAGGAAATAGGTTTTAAGCAAGAGATGGTGTAAGAAGCAAGAATTAGGAAAGACAAGAAGAGTAGACAAAAAGACAGAATCATAGCAAAAAAGGCAAAAAGTAGTCAACAAGGCTGCCCGATAGATGGCAATGGTAGAACTTCTTGGTCAAGCAACCAGATAAAGAAGGCCAAAAGTTGAGCAATAGTAGAATGGCTTGGAGGCAAAGAGCAGTGGATGTATCAGTGGTGAAAAGGAAGCCACTTGTATTGATAAACAGAGAGTAGAAGTGTGACATTAATCGGATAAAAAAAGAGATACTCATTCAGAGAAACCTGACAGAAAAGCAAGCGACCAGACGAATCCAATGAGCAAAGACAAAGGGATGATACTTCTGGATGAAAGAGAAATGTAAAAGGCTGGAGTAAGAGTGATCAAAGATGGAGGTAAAAGAAGATGTGCCATGGATCCCAGTCAGTGAATATATTGAAATCAAGATTAAGCCAACCAAAAAGGTGTTATCAACAGGACCCAACAAGAAGTGTCATGAATCAACATCAAGGCACGTGGGAGAAGGTGAAATAGAGGGTACACACACAGAAAGAGATGAGACCAGTCCTGGTTGAGGGCATCCACAGCCAGAGCAGCTGGGTGAAGTACAGGGGCCAAAAGAGGGGAGATTTGGTAATGAGAGGAGTAGAAAATGCAAGGATCATAGGTATGCCTTACTGGGAACAGATCCAACAAAAGACCTGAGGATGAAGTGACTGCTCCATAGGAAGAATTAAGTCTAACTGAAATAGTCAATCTGCCACTAAGTTTAAAGCCACAGGCTGTCAGATGCACCCAATGTGAATGGTCCAAAACATGAAGTCCAACATGTAATATTAAAAGGTCCTTGGAGCAAATACCACCTTGACTATTGAAAAAAACAACTGTAGCATTGTCAGAGTGGATTAGAATTAAGTAATCTACAGGACAAGGGAGGAAATAGGAAGATGCCCGATGAGCTGCAAAGAGTTCCATAACATTGGTGTAAAAGGTATGCTCCACAAAAGACTACACCTCCAAGGCCATGAAGTCATCCAGAGATGCACCTCAACCCATTGAATGTGCATCGGTGAAGAGATAGAAATCCAGACAGGGAGAGCAGCAGTGGGATATTGACTATAGCATTGGTACAATCCAGTCACCAAGACAGATTCTTGAGAAAAAAAGGTAGAAAAGAAGGAAAAACGAAATAATTGGCAGTGTGAGAGTCATGTTGTAAGGAACAGGATGAATCAAAAGATATGGTAAAAAGGGAAAGTAAAGAACAAACCTGAGTAATCAAATCTACAAAGAGATTAGAAAGAGTCACATTTTCCTAAACAGGTAAAGAGGAGTCTATTGCAAACCCAGAAGGTTAAAATAGCCAATCAAAGTCGTAATCTTTGTGTTTGAAATCAGAAGGAAAATGTACTTCTGATAGGGGAAAAAGATGAGGCAAGGAAAGCAAAAAGGAACCCACAGTACAATGAACTATGGCAGTAATGCCTTGGACAGTCAATGAGCATTCAGTGACCACAGACACAGAGAGCAGTATCAGTAATATTGCCCAACCTCAGGATAAGGTACCAGTCACTATCACTTGAGAATTCACAGTCGAGTAATTCTCCAGATGAAGAATTTATTTATCTAATGGTAATGTAACTTTAAATAGAGGTCAAAACAAATTTAAAGGAAACCAATGAAAATTAACACTGCCAAATGACTGCACAAATCTCACAAAAAATTTACTAAGCTTAAATTGAAATAAATATGTCTGTCAAAAACAGTGTCGAGGATAAGAATGATGTTAATTTCAAGTGCAATTTTTCATGAGGATCTACTGCACAAGGAGAATGTGCCATCCTCCTGTTGGTGGAAGGCTATTGTTGTATGATGATTACATCATACACTAGCACAGTTCAGGTCAAAACACATCTTAGATGTGAGATAGTTCAAGGCTAATGCTATGCACAAAATCTCAAACACAGATGCATGAGGAATAGCTCCTGTGTGCAAAGGGGTAAAACAATTTACTGTAAACATTTTTGTTAATATGTTGAGCAACTCAAAATCCTTTACAAAAACTATCATTAAGTACTAAGCATAAACCTATAACAAATGAAAAAACATAAAAAACTCTCCCTACTGTTCCTCTAAATCTTGAATATTCAGTTGAAATTTCTTTTTCTCAGCAGTGAGAACCTGGTTTCGTTCTTCTTCCTCTTCTATTCTTGCTTCTAGATCATGAAGGATCTCCTCAAGCTCTTGTTTCCTTGAGGCAAGCCTCAATCTACTTTCTTCAGCTTCAGCACATAGTTCTGTCTCTGCTTGCAGTTGTTCTGCCAACATATTCTTCTCACCCTCAAGCTATGTATATCATAAAATATTTTCACACCAATTAGTATAGAGTATATCTCATACAAACACATATATGTAATGAATAGGTCATGTTATTATATAACATATTTTTAGCTTCATTAAAGTATTTATGGCTGCAAAAATATTTCTATTTTAAAAGTACATACTAAAAGAAGTTTAATGATAACCAAATGCCAACAACTTTAACATTTTCAAAGCTATATGTTATAATGTTTTATAACCACTATCTTGTTTCCAAATTAATCCCTAAAGATTAAATTATTTAAAACTGACTACAGCAAAACAGAAACAAATAACATCTGAAAAACATTATTTGTATGTATCTATAAATGTTCCTGAAGTAAAAAGTCAATTTGAATATTCTTAATATGATAAACATTTTACTACAATGATTCTTCTGACTTGGGACAAAAAAGATTTTACATTTTTCAAGCTTTAATGTTTTATTTTCTGTAAAGTTTCTTACTTGTTGAAGTTTTTTTTCAAGCTCCAATGTATCTTCCTCTGCTTTTTCCATTTTCTCTTTTACTTGTCTGAGCTCATCTTCTTTTGCACTAAGTTTTTCTTCTTGTTTGGTAACTTGGAGAAGTGGTTTCACCTGTTTTCCACAAACACTGCTATATTAATAGTGTTTGATTCAAAGTCTTAAAACCAGAAAATATCTTCATTTAAACCACATTTAAAGATGTAAAATTATTTTAAAGATAAATGTGTTGTAATATTTTTAATTAACTGAACTTAAAGAGCAACTCTACTGAAATATGTATGTACGTATACATATTAATATCTAAAGTATTTATTCACTATGGTGTGTGTGTGTAGTCTTCAGCAATAACAGTTTTGTGTATAATTCATTCAAACACTAACATTATGTATAATTGTTATCAAGAGCAGTTTCTTTAAAAGTTATTCAGCCACTAACTTTAGTGTACAATCTCCACCAAGCCCAGTCCCGCAGCTTGAGATAGGCGGCACAGTTTCTTTGGATAATCCGAATAGCATTCAACTGTTGCAGTCGCTTTTGGTAATTTCTAAAAAAATCGAAGTATTACCATATTAGTACTAAAAGAAACAGAACTGTAAACCCCAAATATATGGTACATAATTAATATAATAATTATTATTATAATATAATTATTTTATTATTTAATATAATTATTAAATTATAATACAATCATATCTTTTATTGAAACTAAATATTCTTCAACAATATTTATGTGCCACATTACAAGATATTGGTTTCAATAATGTCTAGGCAGAATTCTGTTTAATGAGTATACATTTATCCTAATTATTTGTTTATATAATTTACTTGATAAAATATTACACATCAGTACTGTTGGAAAATCATCACCTAGTGAATTGGTTAATTACTTCGCATATATGTAGACCCCTGAAAACCATTAATATCAACAACATTGATAATGTACAGAACAACTAATTAATAATTCTATTAATTATTCTTATGTTTAACCCTATATTATTCTGAACAATGATGTAGAGAGAAAATAAACATCATATTCAATTTTAAACAAACCCAACATGATATTCTAACAGTGCTAAACAGGAACACCAGAGCAAAAGGCTTAGAATTAAAGTGAATAAATCATTTACTTCCTAGTTCTATAATACAGACAGACACCTTGTTCTTAAGTTTTATAACTTACATAACACAAAATTTTTACACCAGAAAATGTGGAACTAACTGAACATAACAGACTGATCTAAAAAAGAAGAAATGAAAAGAACATTTCAACTGAAGTCAACACACTTCATAAGTTATGTTAAAGCTGAAAGACCACAGTAAAAGGTTTGGAACTGATTAATCAGAATGCTTGAAATTTACCTTCGAGCAATAAGTCCACGGCAGAAGGCTTGGAACTGAATGATCAAGTCAGAGATTTTCATGTCTCGCTCCTCCTCAAGATGTGCCAAAACCCCAGCCCTGAAAAATATTTTGCTCTGGCCAACCCTGTACAGGTTAGGATCAAGATCCAATGCTTGAATCTAAAAAAAGAAAGAGAGAGATAAGGTGTCAGGTTTTACGTATGTAGGCAGGATTCTTTACAGTAGGTGTCTGTGACTTGTTGGTGATAAATTTCAACAATAAACAAACAGCACACACAGTTCACTTGTTTTAAAAGAATATATTGAAATAAGTCAAACTTATATACAAATGTTTGTTACCACAGTTGTATCCAGAACTTTAAATAATTGTCTCCTTTTCTCAAAAGTCCACACAGATTTGTTCAATTACTTTAGAACACAATTCAGGAAACAAATTATTCTTCTCTACTCTGTTGTTACAATACAGATAATTTCACTATACAGCTAAACTCATTAACACACAGTCCAGATCTATCTAATTATA